GGAGGTCAAAACTGCAGTGGAGATATTTCGAAGAAATGTAAATGGATCGGACTTCCTGATGCAATGAAGGCCAAATTTTTGTCACCAATCAAGTCTCATTAAGTCTTTTGAAAGGGAGGAAAACCAAATCGTGGACTTCAAGCAATGGTGTAGAGCCATAAAATCAAATATCACTACATTTGTGGACTGAATTGTCTCAAAAATTCTTCGTAACTTAGGTTTGCGTTCTCATGACCTCTGAGGCAGACCTGACATATCGCATTCACGCCAGCTTCTCTGTCCTGACAATCAATGCGGTTTTTGCAAGCAATATAAGTTATTTGAATATATCAAGACCAAGATGTTGTGGTCTCTGTTATGGTCGCAGTTTCCTTTCGATTTATAGAATTGGGTTGACCTCGTTGTCGCAACTTGGTCTTGTTGTCAGGGCGACTATGTAGAACGCACAAAGTCCGAAGTCGTTTGTAATAGTAGTTGTCATGATTCCCAGCATCAGACAATGGACTTGATACATTCTCAAACGTTTCGCCGGCATCGTAGTCGGCATCATCAGTGAGACTTGCCAGTCTCCGTACCAAGCTGCGAACTCATCAAAAAGACGATGCCGGCGAAACGTTTGAGAATGTATCAAGTCCACTGTATGATGCTGGGAATCATGACAACTACCATGGCAGACGACTTCGCACTAGGTGCGTTCTACATAGTCGCCCTGACAACAAGACCAAGTTGCGACAACGAGGTCAACCCACTTCTAATATAAGTCAGATTGGAAGAAAGGCAGACTGAGAACTGAAACTGCTAGACATAGCTGAGCTGACCATCGATGCTATTGTGACATGACTTTCCATTTCGAAGGGAAAGTTGGTTGGAATTAATTCGTGATGTGGTCTAACCGGAAACCGAAGAAGGATTGCCGCATAGGAAATACTGTTGTATTTTGTGAAGAATTACACGGCAAAGCAGTTTTGACACCCGATAAATCCCTGTCTAGTTTTCGTCTGTACCTTCGTGACTAACATCATCAGAGCAACAATCCATACTTTGAGAAATATAGCAAAAATATACTAAACTAAGAGAAAAAGTGGCCGGCTGCAACTCTAGTCGCTTTTCTATACACCTACACATATGATCATGAGACGTTGCCATTTGACTAATCTAATGAGTGAATCTTTGCCTAACTTTTTGCTTGCTACAATTTCAGGGTGTTGATCTATAATTAATTCTAAAGCACGCATTGTCTAATTCATCGGAATGTTAGTATACAAATAGACGATAGTTCAATTTGGACTCGAGGTTAACTCAACCTCTTTCTTTTGTTCACTGATTCTTCTAACTCTCCCTCTCCTTAAGCCTATCCCACAGCCACAAAT